AGTTTCTTCAGAGATTGATTGGTGTTCTTTCAAATCGGATTATGCAGGCTTGATTCACAAACTCAATCTCCGATCTGCATCTCCGATTAAGATCAATGTGCAACGGGATTAGTGAGAATTTCTCCTAAATCGGCGGTGATGCCATTAACTAGGTCGAAGAGTCTTCCGGCGACGGATGCGATGCCGGAGAACGGTGGATCCGATCGGGAAAAGCTAGTATCGGGGAGATCGGTGGCCGGAATCCTCTACAAATGGACTAATTACGGTAAAGGATGGAGATTCAGATGGTTTCTCCTCCGCGATGGAATCTTATCGTATTCGAAGATCCGACGGCCGGAGAATGTAAATCTTGTATCTCCGTCTGATGATGTCAGGTTAATCGGAGATATTTCTACTGATCGTCTCACGAGGATGAATAGTTGCAGTGGTCGTGGTCGACGGAAACATCACAAAACAATTGGCATTGTTCATCTCAAGGTATGCATTCATGTCTTGAGTTTGATTTCTGAAGTAGCAGTATAGTGATGAATAGTTCTAAATTGGACATTTTTTCATGAATGATTGATTTCTGGGGAATTTGTTAGTGAAACAGACTAAAATGTGATTTCTCTGACAGAGTATAGTATCATTATCATCTTCTTCTCTCCTTTGGTTGTACTTGTGTAGTTTGTCTTTATACTCTTCATTTTCTGGTTTGGATTATCCTCTTCTTTAAGAGAACCTCTCTGGTTTTCTATAAAGCCTTTAAGTTTTAACTTGCTGCTTATCTGTAGTGGGCCACATTCTGTTAACAAAGTTTTAAAAGTTCAGTACAGAAAACCAAAATACAAAAATTTTATTTTTTTGTTTGGTTACAATTTAGTAGTGCAGGACTAGGGTCCCAACTTGTTGAACACCATTAAGTCATTAACACATTTTCCATCAGTTAAAATTTTGGTTTCTATGGTAGAAAAGGCAAGGAGTGTAGAAATGTGTCATCTTTGGTCCTAACCAGAAGCTTGATTTTCTTTTTGGCATGTGCCTGAGCTCTTTTGAATTTTGTTTGGCAGGGCCTATTCAATTTTTGTTTTTTTTTGTTTACCATCTTATGTCATGGATCATTGACCAGTAGGTTTAGTTAGAGTGTTTTCAAGGAGTTTCAACATGATTGGTGAATGGTAGGTATAACTAGTTCGTAGGAAATAATGAAGTGTGGCTGTGTGTGAACTTCAAGTCACCTCTTGGGGATTTCTAGGTATATTTAAGTGTTAACTTGTTAGAGTTACATTTGCATTTTCCAAAACTTCAAACCTTATCCAGGCATTAGCTTTGAGTGTTCTATTTACATGTAATCGGATACTTGTGTGTTTGCATTTTATTTGTTTGTTGAACACTGGAACTTGTGATTGTTGACTGGTTTACAGGTTGTTTACATGAAAACCTATAATTTGATCTCAGCTTGTTTACTTTTATAGCTGGAATAAAACTTCCTGGTTTGAGTTTGAGGGCTAGTATATTCCATTCTTTTTTTTTTCCAACAGGTTTCATCTTACCGAGAAAGGAAATCTGATAATAGAAAGTTTTATATCATTACTGCAAACAAGACTCTTCATCTGAGAACTGATTCTAGAAGTGATAGAGCAGCATGGTTACAAGCTTTAGCATCTACCAAAGGTATCTTTCCTCTCCAGTCAATTAGTGGGGATTTCTCCTTCGTATCACCAAAGGATTTATCCATATCTACCGAGATATTAAAGAAATGGCTGCGTGAAGAGGGAATAAATGAGAGTCTTGTAAAAGAGTGTGAACAAATAGTGGATTCAGAGTTCTCTGAAGTTCAAGAACAAATTAAACTTCTCCACGAAGAACGGACAAAGTTGCTTGATGCAATGAGGGAGCTAGAGGTAAAGTTTGAATCCTTGCTTTTCCTTTTACGATTGTTTTGATTTGGTTAAGCTGTTTAATGTGGGCCTTGCACATTGTCTCCTTTCATTTAATGACTTAGTAGTATTCAACAACCTTTATGACACATTTGCATCGGTAACACCTGGGCTATGCACACAAGCATGGTAATAAATGTCACGTAACTTGCTATTAGGTTAGTTATTTGAATGTTAATGTTAGTTTCACATTTTTTTTATCACCTTTTATGGGATCCATTGAGCTGATATATTTGTGAGGATCATAAATATATGCCAAGGCATACCACATGTTCTGTGTCGTTTATCTAAAACTCGAATGTCATTGGTGATATTTGCGAATCTTGTGACAGATCATGCACCGCTTTTCATCAAATGTTAAGGATGATGTGTTTCACATCATCATATATCCATGTTGGCTATCCTACAGTGTGAGACTTTCCTTGTGTACAGGTGGCTAACCTTGAAGCGGAAGCCTCAGGGATCCATGACAGTGCCTACCAATTAACAACTCGTAAATATTCCAGCTTAGAACGTAGAAAATATAGTGGTAAGTACAGAAAATTTCGATCGCTTAACCGT